ATAAAATCTTTCAGGGGTGGTGTATCTTATCCGAGGAAGCATCGTTTGAAGTAATTTGACTTGGTAGTTATATGTTCCTACGATCTGTTTGGAATGTGTAGGTCTGGTGGTGTTGTTGGACTGCAGTGATTTTTCTCCCCGGTCTTCCTCCTGTTTTACGCCGGTTGTATTCCAAGCTATCGTTCCCACTACGTGATTTGACATACTTTTGTTTCCTCTGTTGCTTGGTTTTCTCCGATGTTTATCTGTCGCGTTAGTAGTAATGACATAATGGATGTCAGGCACAATTTGAAGCTTCTTTTGGCATCCCTGTATTAGGGGGAAACTTCAGTAGTTCTGGTAATGTGGCTTTGTCGGTTGGCAAGAGTGAACCTGAGCGCTATTGATGTTTTCTTATAATAATATTTTGATCTTCCTTATGTTGTTGTTATGCTGACTATTGTCTGACTCACTAAAGTTGCACTTAAGTTGGTTCATACACTTGTTACTTCAAATGCAGGCAACCAATCAGATGTGGTAGGTTGTGTCCATAAGACTAGGAAATGATTACATCAAAATTAATTTTCTGTAGTAGTTCATGCTGAAAATATTTGGCAGAGATGTTTAGCATATGTATGTGTGTTTTGATGAAAGGTGTAGGTAGTCCCAGGAAAGCTAGTTTAGTTTGCACTGAGGCAGTAAATTGTGTCTGGGATGTACTATTTATATAGTAGAATGCTTCTCTACGAGCCCCGAAGCATTCTCATACAGAAAGCTAATAGATGGGAAAGAGATTTATAGCCACATGGGACATAGTTCTCATTGAGGTTGTCAACCTGTCAGACTTGTACCACTTCAGACTGCAAGAGAAAGGCTCATCAGATTGAATTCCTCTCCCACCTTCACTGCCAGTGGGTGGCTTTGTTTTCAGATATAGCCACATCTTTGGTAGTTTTCTGTGGGCACTTGCTCAGTACTGGGTTACTATAGATGACAGTGCATTGCATCAGCTGGATAAGATCGCTCTGTTCAGTAAATTCATTGCTTGTGTACAGGATTTGCTCTGTACAACCCACCTACTGTTTTTGTAAGAACTGCAGCCAGGAGCCACATGAAACATCTTTGCTGTCCTGGATTCTCCAGTGAATTAATATCACTGAAGATCAGGCTACATTCTCATTAGAATTATCAGAGGCTAATGCATAACTATGATTGTCCAGTTGTGAAGTTCTTTCTCATAGCTTATTTTCATAGAGTGAAATGTCCATTATTATGATGGGCAAGATTTATATAAAAGAATGTATATTGTGATGACTCTGTGCCATGATGGTGTAATTTTATTTGTTCAGCAGAGTTCTGTTTGGCTTTTAAACGTGCATTATTCCAAGGCAATTTACATAAAACAGTTTAAACATTTATCTTTTAATTTAAAAAGTATTAAAACTTCTCAGAAACAAAGTAACAGTAAAAGTAACAGTAAAAACAGTAAAAGCACATATGTAGTTAAATCCCATACACTTGGCAGAATTTTTTTCCACTTGTCTCCGAAACTAGGTTAATGAACAGATAGGCCCTTAAAGGAATACATTCTGAAAAGGCTGTTCTTAATAGAAACTAATCTCAGTTCCCAAAAAATGGCCCTTGGAGCTGTCTCACTGGTGGATCTTAAAACCCTAGAAGGTTCATATAAAGTGGATGTACCCAGAAATGGGCCCCAGGCCATGTAGGATTTTAAAGGTCAAATCTTGCAGGTTGAGTTGGGCTCAAAAGTAAGCCAATGATCAATGCAGGTGTTTTGGAATCGGTGTAATGTATTCTTGCCAGTTCATACCTGTTAATGAGCAAGCAGCAGCATTCTCTACCACTTGAAAATTTTTGGTTCATTGTCAAAGGCAGCCCTAGGAATATGATGCTGAGTGGTAGTAGATAAACCATTCTTAAAATGTTTTGCGAGTACAAGCAACTTGGGATGCCTTATAGTAAAGCCGTATGGTATCTTCATCCAGTGCTTTTCTCTTTTCAGCACTTCCTAATAGTTCAAGCCAATGAGATACTTAGTGAGCTATTTAAGATATGAGTTTTATAATTATTATCCTAGATTTTGGGTAGTGAGCCAAATCTCATCAGGTAGCAGCATTGGACAGATCACTGAGATTTCCACTTCTTTGCTGCCCTCAGATAACATTTGCAAGCAAGTCTGTGCTTGTCATTTTCTGTATCACTTCCACTACAGCCTCAGTGGGTAATGAATAAAAAACAACCTCTCCCCCCCCCCCAGCTCTCTGGCCTTAGTTCTTCCGGTCCAGCTTTTCTGGCCAGTTTTCATCACTGGCCTGATTTTGATTGGTCATCTGATTGTTTTATGGTTACATGGTATTTTATGATAATTATATGTAAATTGTTACCACATTGTTTTAAGTGTATTATCTAATTGTTGTTCACTCCCCTGAGCCCACTTGGGAAGGGCAGTATATAAATCTAATAAATAAATAAATAAATAAAAAATAAAGTGTGGATTTTCATCTAGAGTTTTGACAATGATTTTCCCCAAACTTAAACGGGTGGGGGTGGGGAGTTGATGCTTCATAAACACAATAAAAGGTAGGCAAGGGAAGTCCTCCTCATTCTTCATACTGGTTTCATTTCCAGGGAGGATTCTAGGATATTGCTTGCTGTGCCATTCTTAGGTTTTTCTTTTCTTTTTTGCCATTCTCAGGCTCTGAGCTAGAAAACAAGTCTGCTGTAGACAAAGAACTCCAAATCTGCTCATAGCAAGAAGCTATAATTGGGAAGAGACTTATGTTTACTTCCAGAGAAGAAAGCACTTTTCAGGAAGAAATTGAACTTGAGCAGTTCTGTTTTCATGCTGCTGCCAGTCTGTTTTATTGCACCTTGCCTGAGAATTCTTGGCTTTTACCATAGACCAATCCTGTTTGGAAGACCTCTGAACCAAGATTAGCAGGATGTGATTCAGACATACCTGCTCTTTAGAAATTGATTCCAGTCTTTTCTTGGATGATGTATGAAGTGGTTAACAAATGGGTAGGTAGTTCTATGGGTAGGTAGCCCTGTCTTCTGGGAGGGGGGGGGGACTCTTGACTGCCTGAAGGGAAGGTCAGAAGTGTAACTTTGCCACTAGAGCTGCTGTAATGCTTTGCAGTTTCCTCGGCCACAAGCTAGTTATTAGTTCTGTCTCCCACTCAGGCTATACTTGCTTGAGGTCTACCCTGGAGAGAATGGTTTCTGAGGTTCTCATCATAACTGCTGTTATATGGTCATTTTCGACCCTTGTGGCATTCAAAATAAATGTTAATAGGCTGTTTTGTTTACTGAACATAACAATAGTGTCCTGAGCAGAACTGTTTCCGGGATTGTACTAATGAGAGGCATGTGTAAAATGGATGCTGGTTTCATGTTGTGTGTGTGTGTATATATGATCTATTATTATATTTGGGTTTAAGTGGTTTTGTCCAAACCGATCATTGCTAAGACCTGGCTTTCCTAAGCTATCAAATGTGAGGTCAAGAGGTATATTAAAGGCCAAGGTGTGTAGGGATCACTAACTTGTGTCTTTTCTTTTAACTAGGCGGAAGATGGGAACATAGAATACAAGGTGAGCCTCTTGTGGGAGGAGCTTGCAAGGTTACAATTCTTTAGTTTAAAAATTCCCTATTGAAATATGATGAATGTAGTCAAATACTACTTAGCAATTGGGGCATGCTTCAAAATACATATATTTTTTTAAAATTGGAAGCATTAAAGTAAAACAAGAACATCATTATCAAAAACTTTTTTGCTGGCCGTCACAAATGCATGTTTGTATTTGTGAATTTATCTTAAAACTTGGATGTTAAGCCAACAAAGAACTTCCTTTCTTCTTTTATTTTCTCTTTTGAAAAACTGTCAAATGTGTTGCTCAGTTATATATTGCTCCTTTATTTAGCTGCCTGGAATGTAACTGCTCCATCTGAACTCATTTAGTGGAGTTACTCTGGGCAAGAGATTTTAATAAAAATAAAGCTGAAAAATCCTTTGACCATATTAATGGCTTGTGTAAAAATGGGCATGAATTCTAGTGAAGAAATCACACACGTTCACAAACAGCTTGCTCTTGTGAAGGGGTCCCCTTGCTGACTGTAATCACTTCTTCTTTTGGGCAGCTGAAACTAGTTAATCCTTCCCAGTACCGCTTTGAACATCTAGTAACGCAGATGAAGTGGCGTCTACAAGAAGGCCGTGGTGAGGCAGTGTACCAGATTGGTGTAGAGGACAACGGGCTGCTGGTGGGACTGTCAGAAGAGGAGATGCGCGCCTCTCTCAAAACGCTGCGGCGGATGGCTGAGAAGTATGTGTATCTGTCCTGCTTCTGAGCCAAGGCAAACCAACTATGCTGCGTTATTTCCAGAAATGGTCTGGGGCCTTGTCTTGTCATCCCACAGAAAGTTTCCAACCTAGGAAAGCACTTCTAGTATTTATTTATTTTGATTTCTAGCCGGACCTTCCCGCAAGCGGGCTCAGGGTGGGTCACAGCAGTAGATTACAATAGATTACAGTCTTCAGTAGTTCAGAATAAATAAATATCTAACATTAAAAACAATTTAAAAACCCAGTTAAAAGTGGGCTTGCAACAGATTTCAGATCACAGTTCCCACATCCGGGAGCGAATGAGCCGGCGCCGAGCCATAGAAGTCTTGTTAATAGCGGCAGACCACTGGGGCTGCAACAAGGAGGCCAGCTGGTGGACGCCTGCTGCCTCGACCAAAGGCCTGGTGGAACAGCTCTGTTCTGCAGGCCCTGCAAAACTGTAACAGATCCCGCAGGGCTCTTATCTCAGTCAAGAGTACGTTCCACCGGGCTGGGGCCGGGGCAGAAAAATAGTACCTGAGTGACTAGGGCCTTTGCACTAAGGACATTTTCTCATATTACTATATTCCTTATGTGCGTCAAGAAGCATATCACAGTTGTAGCAGGAGAGTTGTTCCTCTCCCCTCCCCATACCATTTCCTCCTACAACAAGAGCTCATATGTGTTGGAAAAGAAGCCAAATTCTGGATAGTTTCTGATGAATTCATTTTAATGAGGTTTACGAAATGAGAACTACAGAAACTTAATATAGAAGCACACCTTGTTTTACCTAGTTCTACGTACTTCACTTTGACATGGTGAGAGTCTTATCTGTCACCATGTCCAGTGATTTCATGTCAACAGGAGTACCTCCCCCTCTTGTGTAATTCCTCTATTTATTACAGAACCAAGGAAAGATCATACTCTCGCTATGTTACCTTGGGATTCCCTTCCCTGGAATGGTTGTAAGCCTCCAGGAACTCTGAAAACAGAGCCTAGTGCTATATGTTACCAGAATCCTTAAATTTTAAAATTAAGATACCAAAATGTAAATAAAACCCTGTGAAACTGGTAAATATGCTGATATCTAATGTTAATAGGTGTTAAGTTCTGTTGTCAAGAAAGAAAGGAGTCAAACTATCCCCTGTATCTGTCAATAAAATCAATAAAAATAGAAAAGCACTGCAAAAATTGTTTGTTTCTTTGCCTCCTGGAGAGTTTCTTGAATATAATTCACTAATGTCTTTGGGTTTTCTGTTTTGCCATTTGCAGAGTGGGAGCTGATATCACTGTGCTACGAGAAAGAGAGGTGGATTATGACAGTGACATTCCCAGGAAGATAACGGAGGTTCTTGTCCGAAAGGTCCCAGATAACCAGCAGGTAACTGTTACCCAAAGAGGCAGTCTCCTATTTAATTGGAGGAATTAACTTAAGGAGACAGAGCAAGAGGTGGGTAACTGGGCTCTCCACCAATGTTTACTGGGATTTTTTCCTTAAGAAAACTCTCAAAATAAACGGGAAAGGTTTTTTTATTGAAAGAAAATAAAAATGAGCACACACACACACTGAAGACACACACAAGGCTAGCTAAGAGGAAATCAGGAAGGAGAGGGGGAAAGCAATTCGGGGATGGCTATAATAACCAATCTTGAAGGAAGAGGTCCTTGGAGGCAGCAGCAAAACAACCAGCGTTTCACAAAGAGACGAACCAATGGATTGGGGGTGTGAGTATGGATTAAAGAACACACAACACTGTACTGATGGCTAGGTGCTCTTGATATAAGGCAAAATGTTTCCTGAGACAAGCTGACGTATTCACCCAAAAAACAATAACTTAATGGGTTTTTCCTGATTTGGACAAAAAGATGGGGAGGCTTGATGGGTTTTTCTGAGGTGGGCTATAGGAGTAAATTGATGGCCCTGAAAGTACTGAATGGGAAAAGCTACTAGGTTTGGATAACAGAATTAAGTGTTGCTTAATTAGGGTAAATGGCTGCAAGGAAGTCAGACTGGGTGTTGATGAGATTAGTCCAAGGTGAGTCAACAGGTTCTTGGGAGACCCATTGTCCTAAATTATGCATCTCTCTGGGGCATGGAGGAGGATGTTAGTTAGCCAGCCACTCTTCACACTTCTAAACTACATATCCAGGTTTGTTTCTGACTGACATCCATTTTGTGTCATTTTGGGCCAGGCCGTGTCAGCGAGAAGAAGGGTCTGACTGCTAATATAACAGCTCACTTTGGTTTCAGTGCCCTCCAATGCTCCCTCTAAGCTGTGGGGTCTTGTGAGCAAAAATTCTACTCTGTGAGCCACTGGCATTAAAGTTGTGAGCGAGCGATTTGGCTCCTGCATAAATTAGTTTGCTCCGGAGCCCTCCTTCCTGAGCTAAGACAAATATGTGTGAGCCAGAGGCTAGAAACCTGTGAGCTAGCTCACACTAACTCAGCTTAGAGGGAACACTGGTGCCCTCTAATATGGAGAGTCACTGAAGGAGATTTTGGCTGAGAAAGTCTTAGAAGGCGTTTCATTTTCTGAGTGCCACCTTCTAGACCTTACTCAGTTTGGAGGACAAAATAGCTGATTCTAAATTCTTGGAAACAGTGCTGTGGTATCACAGATTATTATGCATATTGCCAAAAGTACCGCTGAATGCCTTGGCAGATCAGTTTGCAAGACAAAGCCCAAGTCAGAATTTGCACCTCAGAAACACCCATCTCTATTATTGCATTCTGTTTACAAACAAATCTCTGTAGCTCAACCTTTTCCCCCCATAAGTTCTTAGATTTGCGAGTAGCTGTGCTTGGGAATGTGGATTCTGGCAAGTCAACTCTACTAGGTGTCCTGACACAGGGAGAGCTGGATAATGGGCGAGGCAGAGCTCGTCTCAATCTGTTCCGGCACCTGCATGAGATCCAGTCAGGGAGGACATCCAGCATCAGCTTTGAAATTCTTGGCTTCAACAGCAAAGGAGAGGTAGGGGTCTCAAGGTGTTTGGTGTTGAGTTGCTATTTTACTCCTCTGGATACAAAGGATGCTTTTGTCCTTGCCTTTATGAACGCTCGTAAGCTGTTTATTTTGACTTCTAGGTAGTAAATTACAGTGACTCACGGACAGCTGAGGAGATCTGTGAGGGTTCCTCCAAGATGATCACCTTCATTGACCTGGCTGGCCATCACAAGTACCTGAAAACCACCATCTTTGGACTCACAAGTTACTGCCCAGACTTTGCCATGCTGGTGGTTAGCGCCAATACTGGAATTGGTAAATGCATGTTCTCATTTCATCAGTCATAGAGATTTTTAGGGTACTGCCATAACATCTCATTCAAAGATTATGTTTGGCCAGTAAAAAAGACTGGGACAAAATTGACCCTTGGTAGCACAGAAATACCTGTGCACATTTTAAGCATCTTTCATCAGGTTGTATAGGCTACGAGATTATGTTGGTGCCATCTCCATGATGATCTATAGCAAATGTTTTCGGCAGGTTGATCCCAGAGTGTCACATGTAACTAATTTTAATATCCCTACCTTCTCTCACCTTGTCTTTTCCAACATCCTGTCTCTTACAGCAGGTACAACCCGAGAGCATCTAGGCTTGGCTATGGCCCTCAAGGTCCCTTTCTTCATAGTCATTAGCAAAGTAGACTTGTGCTCAAAAGCCACTGTGGAACGGACAGTAAAGCAGCTGGAGAGGATCCTGAAGCAGCCTGGTTGCAACAAGCTCCCCTTGCTAGTCACATCAGATGATGATGCTGTCACAGCAGCACAGCAGTTTGCACAGTCTCCCAAGTAAGGATTGTTTTAGAAGTTGGGAGGGAAAGGTTATGGGACAACTGTGACTAGATCGTTGGAGGAGGAAAAAGATAAGTCCAGTGCTGGCCCAGTAGCAGTGAAAATGTGAGGGCTGACGTCAATGGTTCGTGAAGAAGCAGATGGGACCTTGTTCCCTATGATCCAGTGCATCTTTATTTGGATGCAAGTTCCACTGAGCTTAAATGCACTAGCTGCCCGATAACTGTATTTAGAACCAATGTTCCCTCTAAGTTCTGGAGTCTTGTGAGCAAAAATTCTACATTGTGAGCGACTGGCATTGAAGTTGTGAGCGAGCGATTTGACTACTGCATAACTTAGGTTGCTCTGGAGCCCTCCTTCCCGAGCTAAGACAAAAATGTGTGAGCTGGAGGCTAAAAAACTGTGAGCTAGCTCACACTAACTCAGCTTAGAGGGAACACTGTATTAGAACTTCACCAAGCACTGTCCCCACACTTGCTTGCCTGCTGTGAAGGAATGAATTTGCAAGTCCTTCCTGTTCCTTCAAGCTGGTCCCCACAAGTTCAGAAAACCCTGCAGCTGTACTGAGTGTCTCTGTTTGGTGACGCGCTGCCCCTTTTCCTTTGGACGTGCATCTTGATGGGAGAAAAGGTGCACGTGGGAAAACAACTCCCAGTTTCCTGATAGGTTAAGTTTAACCCTCCAAACGAGGATAGGAAGCGTTAAAAGGTCTGCACACCCTGTTAGCCGTGCAAGGCAAGGGCCACAAACAGGGAACAAATGGAGTGACGTCTGTCTGGGATCCGCCTCTGTTTTCAGAGTTCTTGGAGGCTTACCATTCCAGGGAAGGGAATGCCAAGGTAACTTAGCAACTGTATAATCTTTTCTTAGTTCCGTAATAGATTTCTGTAATACATATAGTTTTCCAGTGCCTTGTACTCCAGTGAGTTAAGAGTATATTTTAGTAAATAAAGATCTTTTGATTTTAAAGATCTCAGCCTGTGGTCAAAGAATCTCACTCAGAGTTCCTGACTGCTCAGTCACACACAGCCCAAGAACTCCTGACTGAGCTACAGGCAGTTAGCTGGCTGGAGGGCGGGGGTGTGAGAGACCAGCACTCATGGACATCCCAAAGCATACCACCCATATCCATGACTCAAGCTGTGGGTAGAAAGAGGAAGGACACAGCTTAACAGGTGACATGCAGTGTCCCCTCTAAGCTGTGTGCCTGGGCAGCCACTCATTAGCATAGGAAGCCCCGCTCAGCAGCAGTCTGGAGCCACGCAGGGTCCTGCACTGCCCATTGCCCATTGGAAGATTACAGCAGTTACAATTCTTCTCAGGATGTGAACTGCTCTGCTCAGTAGGGGGGGAAATTAGAGAGAACATTGATGACACATTACCCAGAGAAGAGGAGGGAGAAGGCAAGTGGGGCAAGCCCTCTCCACTGCCCTCTGCTTCTCAGGCAAGGACAGCAAGAAGGAAGGGGAAGAGGGGAACAACTTGTTTTCAGAGGCCATTATGACTCTAGTCATAAATGCTAGAAACATGCCTCAAACGAGAACAGAAAGCTGAGATTTTCAAGGATCTGTGTATCAAGTCCTGTGTTGCATCCCCCCCCCGCCCGTATTTTTGAGGGGCTACAGAATACGTATCAGTTTACCCAGGGGTCATTTCATAGAAAAAGAAGTGCAGGAGCTCATTAGCACAACTCATTAGCATAACTTATTTGCATACGCCACACCCTCTGACATCACTGGAAGTATGTCAGAAGGCAACACCCACCGCTCAGGCTCCACTGGACTGTTTTGGATTGCTAGCTATTTGGGGGGGGGGAACGTGCACATCTGTCCTCGCAGAGGAGGGAGAGCTTGTACCTGAATAAAACTTGGTCTCAAAAGTGCCACTGGACTGTTTTGGACTGGGGGGGGGGCTCTGCAACTTACCTGGCTGCTTCTTGCTCTAACTGAGGGCTGCTGGGAGCAGGGGGTGGGGCTTGTTGCATGTGCCCGCCCCCTGGGCTCTTTACTGCCGGAGCTCCGCTCCGGTGTGCTCCTGCAGGAAATGACCCGAGTTTACCCATCAGTGCTGCATGCAGCATCTTCAGCAGGGTTCTGTGAATTGTTCTGCTCTGACTTTCTTGGTCTCCCATTGATGCTCTCAGAACAGCGATGGGAACTGATGGATTTGCTCACCTGTGCTGTGGAAACTCATGGTCACAGCTTATTTACTTGTACAAGCTAAGCTATACAGTTGTCTCCCAGCTGGAATTATCATTATTATGCTGCATCTGAAAATGCTTCCCAGCCCATAAGTAATAACTCATCTGAAAAGAATTCTTATGAACTCAGGGCTGGTGTAATCCATCTGGATCAATTTCATGTGTAGTAAAAGCTTGGTTATCCAGCGCTCCTGGGAACGGGAGTTGGTGGTTAATCAAATGTGCCAAATAATCTAACACTGCTCTGCCCTACTCCTACCCAGAGGAATTTTCAGCAGCCATACAACACCCCATTGGGAATGCCACAATGACAGCCCGCATGCCTGGTGGGACCCTTCCTCTTGCTATGGAGCCATCCTATGCAGCAGGAAGACAAGCGAGCCAGTTGACTGGGAGCCCTCCAGCAGAGTAGCTCCTGAAAGCCCAAGGCAGGTTGAGGAGAAAGGAGGTACCTGAGAATGTCCGATGGCAGTGCTGCCTGTTGGAAGAGGCAAACGCCAGACTGCCCGGCTGGAGAGGTGGGAGTGGTGCACATGCCCAAAGACATAGGGATGTGCTGGCTAAGGGGGAGGAGCTTGCCCGCCGAGCAGTGCCAGTTAACTGGGTATTGTGGATAACGAAAGATTTTACTGTAGTTTGCTTTAGGATGATCTGCTCCACAACAGACTGGTGGTTTCTTTAGCCACCAGATGAATTCTTTCTTGTGTGTTGGCAGCATCACTCCGATCTTCACCCTATCCAGTGTTTCTGGAGAGAACCTGGATCTCCTGAAAGTTTTCCTCAACATCCTTCCTCCTCTTACAAACAGCAAAGAGCAAGAAGATCTAATGCAGCAGCTTACTGAATTTCAGGTACACGAGGATCTCTTCTTTGACTACCTCCGTTGTGTGCAAAGGCAAGCAGCTCTTGAATTCCCTGCATTTAGAGGTGGAAGGAGGGTGATCCATGGGAATCATGAGTCTTAATTTTTATAAGGAAATAGATTTCACTTATGTTCCTGCTAGAATTTAATTGGTTCCCAGCGTTTTTCAGCTCTGATTAAAACACCTAGGAACTGTTCCTGAGTCCTGGGAGAGGGAGGCCATGTATTGAAACTCCGAAGAAGGGACAGATTGTTGACTCTTATCTCAGTTGCTGCAGTTATATAGCAAGTCTGAACTGCTTGTTCCTGTCTGATTGCAGGTGGATGAAATCTACACAGTTCCTGAGGTGGGCACTGTCGTTGGAGGAACTCTGTCAAGGTGGGTGCTGCTCCATGCACAAAGTCTTAGGGGTTGGCATGGATAGGGAGGGAATGCAAAGAGCTTTAGGCCTTCCAAGGAGGATTGGCCATCTAGCTGAACATTTCCCTTTCACATTGTAGACCTAGGAATGCTCTATATGCCACTCTCTTGGGTCCCCTGTTTTGGTGGGGAGAAGGAGAATAAAAATGTTTTAATTTTAAAGATGTTTCACCTGTGAGTAAAGGAGATCAGTTTCACTGCAAAGACAGAAGCGACGGTGAAGCTATTTCTTAAAAGGTCCTGTATGTCCATCTGTACAGATAGCTGTGCTGTCTGTTTGGAGAATGTAAGACTCACATGTTCTCTTAAAGTGAAGCTGTTGTTTTGGGTATCTAAGGCAGGCAACAAAGGAATGGCTTTCCCTGTGTTTGGGAGCTAAATATGGTCTCCTGATTTTGTGCGTTTGCCAGTGGAATATGTAGAGAGGGAGAAAATCTGGTGGTTGGTCCAACTGATGATGGCAAGTTCCTCCAGCTGAAAGTGTGCAGTATCCAGCGGAACCGTTCAGCGTGCCGTGTACTTCGGGCTGGGCAGGCTGCTACACTTGCTCTTGGACACTTTGATCGCTCACTACTGCGCAAAGTGAGTCCACCTCTTATCTCTGGAAGCTATAGTTTCAAGACTCCCCCCCCCCCTTGGGAACTGTGTCATGAGTTGAGGATACTGTGAAGGGCTGCAGACTGTGGTTCTTCTGGAAGATGCTGATTGTTTTTCCAATAGGCATTTTGATTCAGGTTGGGAATAGCGGAATAATAGTCTCCAGATGGAAATCTTAAACTTGACAATAGACTTAAAGCTGTAGAGCAGAAATGAGTAATTAGGTTTCCTCTCACTTGCCCTGTTCCCCTCCTGGAATGTCTTCCAGTACATATTTTCTCTGTTGTCCCTCCACTTTGTCAGCCTGAGTAAAGGCCAGCTTCTTCCAACTGAAGAACATCAGGAAAGATGGTAGTAGCCGTCTTATTGCCAATGGGATGGGATGGGATGGGAAGGGTGCTGCTGTCAAGACGAGTGGCCTAACAGTCTTACTGTCACTTAGGGAATGGTGATGGTAAGCCCAGAGATGAACCCCACCATTTGCTCAGTGTTTGAAGCTGAAATTGTTCTGCTCTTCCATGCCACGACTTTCCGGAAGGGATTCCAAGTAACAGTGCACGTTGGCAATGTGCGGCAGACAGCAGTCGTGGAAAAGATCCAGGGAAAGGTAGGTCTGAGAAGAGGGAGGCCTTCCTATCTGCTCAGGAATTCACTGAGCATCTTATCCCTCTCATCATTTCAGCAACCGTCAGTTGCATCGAGGCCTTCCACTTTAGATGCCTTCAGTTTCTCCAGCACCTTGGGACTGAAACATCCTCAGTGGGCCACCTTTCTTTTTCTTCCTGGTTTCTAGAATCCCAAAGCTAAATAGCTAGGCTGGCTATTATCCTATAATCATACCATCTCCTCTCATTCAGGACAAGCTGCGGACAGGAGAAAAGGCTGTGGTTCGTTTCAGATTCATTAAACATCCTGAGTATTTGAAGATAGGAGCCAAGCTCCTGTTCCGTGAAGGAGTTACCAAAGGTATTGGACATGTCACATACATCCAGGCGATCACCACTGGAGAGAATGGCTTAGAAGAAGGCCTAAGCTCTGGGCTGGTCAGTTTCTGACTTGCATGAGATCTGTGAGATCTCATGATGATAGCAATAGAGGGAAGGAGCCTCCTCCAAGACACCGCCCAGAGCTGCTGTTGCTGCTGGCCAGTCTTTTTACATCAGCACACTTCTTCTATACTGCAGAGGATTCCTGAACTGTCTGGAGCAAGTTAAGCATGTTTGTATCTCACCTGCTGCTTTCATATCCCTGCTTTCCCTGAAGTAGATGAGTGGCTGCGTCTTTACCAGCCCTGGCAACACCTGATTTTGTTGACTTTGGTTGGAAGTTATTTCTGAGTAGAGGGCAAAGCTCTGAGTGTGTTGGATTGTAGCTGCGGAATTCTGCCACCTGCAAGGCAGCAATAGTTTACCCCTTTCTCTCTACTGGGCTCAGTCCCTGTATTGTCCTGTTCTCTGCCTTTTCAGATTGTCATCGATGAGCTGTACAGCTGAAAGATTTGCACTGGCCACAGTACAGCCCAGGACCTTTCTAGTCATTTTAAAGTTGTTACTGGTTTCATTTTAATCTGATAGCTCCTCAGTTTTGTGTGCTGAATTTTAGTAGCCTAATTTCCACTTTATCTGATATATCATGACTTTGAAGTTGTTCTTTCCCTCATCAGCAGCTACTTGCTTCCTCAGTAGAGCTGACAAGAGTGCCCTATATGTGAAGGGGTTTCCTAAAGGAGCTCTAGTCCAAGTATGGTGATCACATGCCTCTCAATATTGCTGGCTGTTTTATAAGCAGAGGTTCTGCTGTTGGCAGTCTCAACTGAGATGGCTTTATGCTCTGATCAGCTTCCCTGAGGAGTCCATAGGTAACCAAGCCTAATGTGTTCCTTGAGAAACCTGCCTTAATTTGATATGGTCAAACCAGTAGGAGCTGTTTGGCCATACCAGGAAAGCTTGACACATGACTGCAATTGTTGTTTGGCCATCCCAGGAAAGCTTGACACATGACTGCAATTATTATGACTCCCATTCAGCCCTACTAACTCCAGCGATTTGCTTGTCAGTGTTGTTCTTAACCGACAACCATCTGTACACCTAAAATGTACAGGTGCAGCTGTAGCCCCAGAATGAGTGGTGTAGGACAGTTTTCAAGCACGCAGAGGGCTGTGCCTCTTGAAGGGCAAAAATTGATGATGTTTTTGCGTAATTATTCCTATATATTTTAGCTACCGATACAGTAAGGGTTGCAGTAGCCATGAGTCAACATGGCAGTGAGAAGAATGGTCCATATTAAAACACTCCCCCTTCCGTTACCGTGTTTTGCTTCATCTTTGTCCTGTTCAGCACAGATACTTTTTGACTGCTGATAGAACCATACAGGTAAACAAATGGCTTATGATTTTTTAAAAGAGAATTGGAACCCATTATCACTTTCCTTCCTGACAGTGCTTATTTTATTTTCACTGTAGACATTTGCGCTCATTTAATGGGAGAGGAAAAAGACAGCAGTTAATTTAATCTGAGTATCATGGCTTAGGAGGCAGTGTCTTTCCTGGCTCTCCCTTAATCAGCGTGGTCCCATGTACACAGCACTTTTGATTGTACCCCGTTTAAGAAACTGGCCTAACGGCTCCCTTGATCAGGTTTGACATGGCCACCAATCTGCCTGGTAGCAAAGGAGTGCTTTAGCATCACTGTGAGCTATAGTGAACTGTTTCAATTGCAGACATTCAAGGTGCTGTTTTGACCCTTGTAAAAGCTGACACTTGGTTGTCTCCTACCCTTGCCTTCTATTGTGAGTGTTCTCAGTGCCATGCTTTTCATGTTCACTGTTTGTGTGGATTCTTTAAAAGGAGGGAGGTGTTTTCATCTCCTGTCTATATATAATGTACAAAATAAAGATGTTTTATTGAATAATAACTTGGTTGTAGTATTTATTTTTGTTTTTGAGATTTTTATTCCAGCCTTCCCAAAGCGGTCTCAGGGTGGATCACAAGAAACCAAGTCCAAAACTCATCACATTAAAAACAATAAACACTCACACAGGTAGCAACAGTGTAACAGTAATGCTGCTGGGAAGTGTCAGCTTTGGAATGTCTCTCTTTTCCTTCATAAACGTAAGAACATAAGAAGATCCCTGCGGTCCAGCATCCTGTCTTACACAATGGCCAACCAGTTCCTCTGGATTGCCAACAACAGGGCACAGAGGCTGAGGTCTTCCCGATGTTGCCTCCTGGCTCTGGGATTCAGAAGGTTAGTGCCTCTGAACGTGGAGATTCCCCTCAGCACCATAGCTAGTAGCCATTGATAGACCTCCATGAATCTGTCTAATCCCCCTTTAAGGCTGTCTATTCCTGTGGCCATCACTACATCCTCTGGCAGCGAATTCCACATGTAAAGCAGTATTTTCTTTTGTCCATCCTGAACCTACTGCCCATCAGTGCATTTGAGTTCTAGTATTTTGGGGGGAAGAAAAATTTGTTTTTGTCCACTTCATGCAAAACAACATCTTAAGTTGCTTCCTACAAAATCCCTATTGCACGATGAAGGAATGTACACAGTTTACGTGCCTATCTGACCTTTCCCAGCATGTGTGTGAGAACCTTATCAGCCTGAGCACAGCAATTTGGGTATGGAGGGAAGAAGCCACTGAAGAGAGCAAAACAGTTCAGTAATGAAGTTAGCTGGCTGCTACATAAAGAAGGGGGATGGAGTGTCACATTCTGCTTGCTTGTTATGACTCATTTCCTTGTCTTAATAACACTCCAGTGTCACTTAACTGTGTCTTAATAACACTCCAGTGTCACTTAACTGGTTTAGTGACCCTGCGTGTGGTTTCTGTTATGGGAAAATGCTACCAAACAAATGGTCGTTGAAGCACTCCCAGTACTAGTGTTCTTACTGAAGGAGTTCCTATCATCACATTGGCAAGAATAGTACAGTATGGGGGAGAGAGGGGGAGATATTCTGCAATGATTTCCCGAAACAGAAAATGCAGATCAAGGTCTTAGTGGAACTAAAATCATGCAAGTATATGTCTGCTACTTTACTCCTTCCTTTTGTTATTGTTGCTATGCAATAATGCACCTTAAATGAAAGCCAACGGCAATGTTCCCAGTATATAATTCAACTGGGACCCTCCTTGAACAATCCATCATCAGAGGATCATGACCTCACACTAGCTTAAACCACTGTCCTATTTATGTGTTGCTGGTCAGGAGCTCCTGGTCTTAGCCCTTTCAGCTCAAAATAATCCACGCTTTAGAACAGTGTCAGGAATTGAGGCAACATTTCCCTTGACACATATTTAACTTATGAATGCAACCCCAGGATAGATCACTACAAGGATTGCCAACATCCTGGAGTAAAAAAAAAATGTCCTACCCCTTGAATAGAGGTTTAATGAGAAGAAATGGGCAGGTGATGTTTTTCATGATGTGGTAAGTTACCGTCACCTGCTAAAGGACATTCCATTAAAACACTTTAAAAGGCAGGAAACCTTTTTCTCCAGGCTGCTGGCAACCCTATCAACCAGAAAAGTATAGCTAATTGCCAGTATAATTATAGGGTTTCTTAATGTAGAAAATGTAATTGATACACATGGCCTTGAAAGTTCATGAAGAGTGATCTCCAATGGATTTCAGTTCGCTGACCTGAAGTGCTATGTATTCAGGAATCTAGTAACTACGCTGGAAGCTCTAAATAAATGAGCTGGCTACATACTAATAAACTTCCTCCTAGGGGGTCACCACCTATTCCCCTTTCCTGCTGCAGCCTGTCTTTCCTTAAGGTCTCCTACGTCCAGCAGCAGTGTTTCATGAAGATCAGGAGGCTGCAAGAAGAGGGGAGGAACAGGAAAACAACATTCAAGCAATGGAAAATATAATCTGAATCCAACCCTATGTTCAAATTTATTTTAGGTACATCACTTTTTACTTGAAATATCTTTTTACTTGAAATATCAACGGAGACTTTCTCAAAGTAGTTAACAGGTAGTTGCTTCTGCCCAGTGTCCAAGAGGTCTTCACAATGCCAGTCTACTGTCCCAGGGACCCAACTCAGTTTTAATGAAGACAAGCCAAAAGAAAAGCAATGCTGATTGCAGCAGAAACAGGTACTCCTTCTCCATTCAGAACAGAGGAAAGGAACATACCACACAGTGATGTCATGTCCAATGGCACATTAAAGACGGACAACATTTATCCCATCATAGGCTTCCATGAATTACAGCTCACCACCAGATGCTTGGAGAATAACAGCTAACAAAATGTGGGGACTGTAAGGGGACTTCCACTGCCCTGACCTGGATGGGCCAGACTAGCACAATCTTGTCAGACTTCAGAAGCTAAGTAGGATTGGCCCTGGTTAGTACTTGGATGGGAGACCACCCAGGAAGTCCAGGGTCACTAGGCAGAGGCAGGCAATGGCCAACCACCTCTGAATGTCTCTTGCCTTGAAAACCCTACAGGTTGTGACTTGATGGCCCTTTCCTCCATCACCAAGGTGCCACTGCCCTTCTCTTTGATTTTGCTGCAACAGACTAAGACAGATCCACCTGCGGAATGAAAATGCAGGGATAATTTGCATTCTTGATATGCAGGAGGTCATCAGTCCAATCCCTGGCATGTCCAGCTGTACAGAACACAGCAACATCTGGAAAGCTTCTACCACTCACTGTATCCAGGACAGGGCTAATGCAATATTTATATTTCATCAGAGAATCTATATTCTTGCCGCAGTCAAGCTGGCGAAATGTGAGTGAATAACACTTCTTGATTTCTTCCAGGAGCTAGGCAGTCTGAACCCAGCTGCTCTCAAGGTTATCATCAGACAATAGCACATTTAAGAACAGTGTTTATTTTATTCCATCATGAAAATAATGAGATGGGCATTTAAATACCAGAGAGTAACAAAAAGGATGTAGCATCACTTGGAGTGGCAACTCGACGTTACATCCTGATATCACCTTGAGCTGCTGTTTTTCAACAATCTTAGCAATTCCCAAAGCTTGCAAAGCACCAGCTGGAAATAATTTATTAGGCATATTTGAATAAGACACAGTTAAGGCTTCAGCTGTCCAGGTGAACTTCAGCCTAAGGAGAAAGACGCTTAAAATATGAATCCAGTGTCCCAGCTATGTCTTTCTTTGCCCGTTTGGCACTAGAGGCTATGGGGCTCCTTGGTTTACTTTTGCCCTTAGTTGGAAGGCTGCTAACAGCCCCAGGTAGCCTGACAGAGCCGGGTCCTGAGAGAGAGTTCTGCAGCTCCACAGCAAAGTGATAGTCTAAATGTTCCGAATACTCCCACACCGACACCTCTTGGTTACATTTTTCACACAAGATTTGGTCCCCAGTAATGGTGGGAGAAGTTCCACTATCAGTTTCCTCCTGAGAAAGTCCAACAGCAAGCGGCACACTTGTTTCTTTCCACAGATCAGGTTGCTCGGGAGAGGCCTTGAGCACTTCTGCTTTTGCTGATGCAGTGTTAACTTCAAGCAAAGTGGCCTCCGTAGGGCCTGCGCTAGAGCTGCACAAAGACTGTGCTACAGACAGTTGGTGCTGCAAGTCAGAGTTCCCACTGGTGATGCTGTGTTCCAGAAGATCATTTGGACTACGGCTGTCGATGGGACTGAATTCTTTATGACATGAAGTGGACGCTACTGCTGGCGCTACTGTCTTTGCATTAGTAGCACCAGGAGAAGAGGACCCAGCTGTAGCTTGAGCTTGTTTCCTTTCTTCTGCTCTTTGAAAGAGAATCTGAATTGCATTTACAGCCTTCTTGCTGGTCTCCTTTTTGGGGCTTCCAAGAGACTTGGTATTTGGGCTAGTTGCACTGAAACTAATGGGCTGGGTATACTTGCTATCAGTACTCAGGAAGGTAGTGATGTCAGAGGATGCTGTGGAAACCTCCAAAAACTTGCTTGCAGAAAGCTGGAGAAGTGTGATTGGAGGAGACCTAAAAACATGGACAGATTAGCAAACATTCCAAAGCGAGAAGCTTTTCAGAACAAAGTTGTTTAATGATTCAACACGCAAGGCAGATGTTGTCCCAAGGACCAAATATTATAGGCTCCTTTCCTCAATAAGTTTGCCAACCGTTTGCTTTCACATTGAGGGAATTGAGGGACCTTCCTTAGCATTAGTTAAACTAAGTACCCCTGGGGCAACAAACACCTCTGACTATTTCCTATTTGACAAACTAACCCATAGTCATTCCTGTGTGTCTCTCTCTCTCATACTTCAAGTGCATACTTCACAATATACAACCAGTCCCTTAGTATGCATCTTCACTACTTCTAATGTAAGCTCACGGAAACGCTCTTTGTTCATCTTACATTTTGAAAGAGAGAATGCTCCTTTTTCAGCACCATTTCTGTCTTGAGGTATTTGGCTGAACAGCTCTGTTGAACATTGTTTTGCTTTTATTCTGTTTGGCACAGACTGTGTCCCTCTACAATAGTTCTTTCCTGCATTCTTCATCTTACATTTTGAAAGAGAGAATGCTCCTTTTTCAGCACCATTTCTGTCTTGAGGTATTTGGCTGAACAGCTCTGTTGAACATTATTTTGCTTTTATTCTGTTCGGCACAGACTGTCGTTCATTCCCTCTACAATAGTTCTTTCCTGCATTCCAAAAGAAACATTCTCACCATGCAGCCTGCTGGCCTCCTGCTGTATTGTAATTCTGGATGATAGCAAATGCATCTCTGCTGATTTTCTGGGAATCATAATGAGACAGGGCCCAGCAGCGGGATAGGCCATTGCCATGTTTACCACCCTGCAAACGGATCCCAATACTCAGCTGTTTAGCTACCCGGTTGTTCTGTTGGGAGAAAAATAAAAAGTATTCAGATAACATACACTTTGGACATCAAGAACTTCAGAGGCTGGTAGTAGAGGGTAACTCCACAGACCTTTCTATTTGTTCTACATATATAGCAAAAAAAATGTAGGGACATTTGATAGCACTCAGTTCACAATAAAATTTGTCTCTGCAACTCATTAGCTGCTCTCTCTACATTGCAAGGAAATCCAAGTAACTAGTACCCAGAGAGAGAAAGAGAGCCTGCCCATTTCCTAAACTGGTGTTTATCTTGCAACATTTGCATTCAGTCCTTCCAAAATCCCTCAGTGTAGCATAAAAAGATTTTCCCCATTAAAATAATTCAGCCAGGCTCATCCTGCAAGTTTTGTGGCCAAACATGGATTTGCGCAGGGGTGTCAAACAAATGGCCTGTGGGCTGGAACTGGCCCATCCAGGGCTTTAATCTGGCCCGTGGCTCTCTTCTCTTCCTCCTCCCCACCCCCTTGTCCTCGCCTTCCAAGCTGCCTCTGAGTGCAGAGAGCAGAGGGCGGAGCTGCCGAACTTCCCTCGTCTTTGCTGGCTGAGGGGGAGGGGGCTTGGTTGCATACATTGTGCTTTCTGGTGGAGGCTTTTCTCTTGTGTTCATTGAGCTAAGGAGCCAGGTGGGTCTATCCCTGGCACCTCCAGTTAAAAGGACCAGGCTGTGGCCTATTATGAGAAATACTTCAATCTGAGACCCAGGAGAGACACTGCCACCTGGGGAGGGGAAGCTTGCAATTCCCCAGCCATTTCATGTTTTCCCCTAGGTCCCAGGCTCAGAGTATTGACCATGAAAGTAGGCTGGGGAAAGGGTCTGCTCCTCACTCCAGACAGTATGGTGGCATCAGCCCAGTGCTGCACTGCATCTTTAATTGTGTTTGTCTGTGTCCTTTTATCTCAGCTACCTGGAATTGCATTTTATGACAAACAATGGCTCGGTCCAACAAAGTCCTATTTATATAAGATCCAAGAAGAGGAGGAGGAGACTGGATTTATACCCCACCCTTCACTCAAGAGTCTCAGAGTGGCTTACAACCTCCTTTCCCTTCCCCTACCCACAACAGATACCCTGTGAGGTAGGTGGGGCTGTGAGAGCTCTTTCGAGGACTGCTCTTGAGAGAACAGCTCTGAAAGAAGTTGTGACGGACCCAAGGTCATAGCAGCAACTGCATGTGGAGTAGTGGGGAATCAAACCCGATTCTCCCAGACTAGAGTCCACACTCTTAACCATTACATTAAACTGGCTCTTGACACCCCTGGATTTGAGTGTTTTCCCCCCACATCTAAACCCTACACCATATTTATCGCTTCAAGTTTGCTATGTAGTACTCTGGCCGGAATGCAATGTCCACATCAATACACCTGAACTACATTTAAGAAATACCAAGTGCTGTACCCACGATTATTTTAGGGAAACATGTTTAGTTACAAGGACCAACACACGTGGTCCACAGCATCTGAGATGTGCTCAGATGGAAGGGAAAGTTATTTATTTAAAACATTTATTTCCTGCTTTTTCTCATGGTTCAAAGCAGCTTGCAATAACAGTCACAAACATTTTCAGTTGAAAAGTAAAATTAAAATGACAAACTCTAAATCTCCCCCCCTTTAAAAAAATTCAAACTCCCTCAAAATCCTCAGCAAACAGTCAGGGCTTACAACACCTCCTGAAGATCTCTGGGGGGTGGGGGGGCACCTCTTCAGGAAACCCATTGCACAGAGATGGAACCATGATAGGAAACCATGATAGGAAAGTCAATGCCAGACAGGCCACCCTAGGTGGTGGGATAGTCAACAGATGGCTGCATCATGACCGTAGCTGGCATACGGGGAAATTGTCCTTCAAATATGTGGTTCCCAGATCATGAAGGGCTTTAAAGGTCATAACCAGGACTTTGAATTGAACTTGTAAACAGACTGTCAGCCAATGGAGCTATTTCAAAATGGGCAACATAAGTTCCCAGTGGCTAACCCCTGACAATAATCAAGCTGCTACATTCTGTATCAGTTGTTGTTTCCGGGCTGTCTTCAAGGGCAGCCCCACATAGAGAGTGTTGCAGTAATCAACTTGAGGTTACAGAAGCATGGATCAGCGTGAACAGATCAGCTGAGTCTAGATAATGAGAGAGCTGGCAAATCAGATGCAGCTAGGAAATGCAACAAGCAAGCGAACACTGTGATATAAATGACTAAGACATTCAGTAAGAATCATATTATATTATAAATAAAACTTTGCAATATTACAAGTCCATCATTCTCAATGAGCACCCAGAGATAAACTCATTTTGTCCCAATCTTCCTCAGGAGTAATCCTATTGTATTGAAAGGTGTCAGCCTCTTGCTACAGCTCAATGTTCTATTAGGAGCAAACCAATGTTTAACTTCTTATGTTCTTCAAATAATCCTAGAAAATAACCCATGGTATTTTAAATGAAAAGCAACATGAAGCTGAATGGAATATTATTTAAATTTTTCATATTAATTTATTATTTCATTATTATTTTTTTAAAAAACACCTTACTTCTGGTTCCATTTCAAGTGTTTGTAAAGGAGAAAGCCAGTCTTGTCTTTAACTAGGTGCAAAAGCTTTCTATATTATGCTAGCTTAAGAGCTCTCCATGAACACTGTATAAGTATTTATAGTAGTAGCAAACCAGTCCTGTTTTCTACCCGGCTGAAAGCCTTCAAATTTAAATTTGGCCAGCAAAATGCTCTCTACAACAAACTGGACCCCAGACTCTATAAAGAAAACTATTCTAATTAATTCCATGCAACTGCATGTTGGACATCTCTTTCTTAAAGCTACATTTACAAGGTTATTATAGTCTTTTATGGAGTTGCAGTGGCTCAAGTGGTTAAGACACTGAACTGCAGGCTGTGGAAGGTTGGTAGTTCAGCAGTTCGAGACCCGAGTGTGCCACATGACGGGTGAGCTCCCATCTCTAGTTCCAGCTCCTGCCAACCTAGCAGTTCGAAAGCAAGAAATTGCAAGTAGATAAATAGGTACCACTTCGGTGGGAAGGTAACAGCGTTCCGTGCGCCTTGGTGTTTAGTCACGCCGGCCACATGACCACGGAAATGTCTTTGGACAGCGCTGGCTCTTCGGCTTTGAAACGGAGATGAGCACCGCAACCCTAGAGTCGGATCGACTGGCTTTTGAGCAAGGGAACTTTTACCTTTATAGGCTTTTAAAATTCACTTGTAATAAATGTAATATTTTAAAGAGACAAACTAGGCTCAATTTTTACATTTCAAATTGATTTTTACATTTTAAAAGAATTGTCATCTTCAATGTAAAGAGTTAAACCATTTTGAAATCATCCCAGAAACTTATAACTTCCTAAAAACTTATAACTTACTAAATGTCTTAAGTCATTTACATCACAGTGCTTGCTTGTTTGTTGCATTTCCTACATGGATACCTGTGATCCCTTCTTGGTTTTTTCTGCAAATCAGATGCAACTGACAGCAGGCACTCCTGCCCGCCATGCCAACCTGCTTTTCAAACAGCAAGGCAGGGTCCATGAGCACCCCAAGGTCTTAACCTGCTCTGACAAAGCCAAAATCACTCCATCTAGGACAAGTGGATTCAATCCCCCTAGAATATCAGCCTTCCCAACTAGCATTACCTCTGTCTTGTCTGGAATAAGCTTCAATTTGTTCTGCCTTAGCTACCTGACCACAGCCTCAAAGCACCAGTTCAGAACCAAGATAGATGCATCTGGAGGCTTAGATAATGAAATATAGAGCTGGGTGTTATCTGCACGTTGATGACACCAAACCCCAAAGCTCCAGACAATCTCATTCAGCAGCTCTGTGTGTGTTTGTGTGTGTGTACGTATAAATATATTTAAACATATATAAATAAAAGAGAATGGGTGCGAGAACAGAACCACGTGGCACTCCACAAGATAAATGCCACTCAGTTGATTCTGCACTTCTGGTGGAGACCCTTTGCATCTGAGTCAGACAAAAAAGACTGAAACCAACAAAGGGCTACACCCTTAATACCAACTCCATATTCAAGCCAGTGGACAAGAATGGAATGGTCACCTATACCAAAGGCGACTGAGAGGTAAGAGTATCAACAGGGAAGACTGTCCCCTGTCCAACTTTAAATGAAGATCGTCTACAAGTGCAACTAAAGCTGTCTTGGTACCGTGCCATCTTGGTATTGAATGCAGGCCTGAAACCAAACTGAAATGAGTCAAGGGCAAATGTGTCATCCAGGAAGCCCTGAAGCTGCATTGCCACCACACTCTATTATCTTCCCTAGAAAAAGTAAATTGGAGACTGGCCTGTAATTGGCCACCTCACCCCTAGCCAACAGACGTTTTTTGAGTAGAGGTCTTCCCCAAGGACTACTCATCCAAAGTTATGCTTAAGTATTAGAAGTGGCTTGTGTGCTATTTCCTTAATAAGCCATCTAGTTCTGATTACCCCAGAGACCTGCATTTGCTTGCTTCAGGTTCCCTTCTAAGGCAAACGTACCTAAGCAGCTAGACAGAAAAACTAGAATATTAAGAAACAGCACTAAAGTCAGCACTTCTTTTTGCAACTCAGAACATCTCTCCTTTGGAAGCTAGGAGGGGCTCTTCTCTTCCCCTACTTACTTGGTCTCGGTCCTTGTTAAGTCTCTCTTCTAGCTCCAAGGCCAGCTGCAGCAGCCAATGTTGCACCTACAAACACAGTGTGTTATTGTCTTAGCCCATTGCTAAATATGCTGCTACCATAAATCAGAGACCAAAGCATGCAACAGTCATCCACGGTTTCAGTTTGCTGGGAGCCAATACTACCAAGGAGCAACCCAAAAAAACATGTAGCAGAGACAACCAGGGCAAAACATTCTGCACTTAGAAAGCAAAATGGAACAAAGAGTTCAGTTACCAGCAACATGCAGCTCATGGGCCAACTGCTTCTCTGCTACATTATCTAATGAATTAGTGTTTTACGGGAGGGCATGAGGAGCTCCCCTCCCACTGAAGGGGCTCTCTAGAGTACATCCAAGAGCTCCTTTGGAACAAATTTTGGAACAAAGCATCTGCCATGTTAAAAAACAGCCCTTTGGAGAGTTGAACCAGAAAAAGAAAACAACAGTATTCATACTATTTTCCAGTTTTGTTTACTCTTCAAAACAGACTTAATTCTGTCCTCTCCACAATCACATACCTGCTTCTGAGTAACCAATGCTGATTTTCCAGGAAAGTTCTTACTGCAGCCGATGGATTTTGGCAATTGTCTAGGTTTTACTGGTTCATGCTCAATCCCTCTACATAAGTCATACAACCAGGAGCTAAAAATTGCACATAGAAACCTTCATTAGGAAAATAATATTTTCAGTGTAGGAACCACCAATCCATACACTTTGGATTTCTCCAAGTACTTGCCAGCTCCATATTATTCAGTTTAGAACATGAACACACGCAACAGTTAGATCTCAAACTACATGCATGCATGGCAAAAAGATAACTCCTTTCCATCAACTTTTTCACTCAAAAATTCCTCTGTCAGAAACAAACACACCTGGACAGTTAATGTGTATTGGCAAATAGCCTCAACCTGAGCTGCAGTTGACAAAGGATGAGTGCAGAGTTAGAACGCTGGGCACACACTATCTGGCAGAACAAAGCAATGATTAATTTTTCTCAATAGCCATTTTCAAACTACATAACCGAATATGGCATTTCTTCTATGATGGGGTATGTGTGTGGATCCTGATACAATTCACACAGAAGCTGCATGTCTCCCCCTTTTACATATGGTTTGCCTTAACCAGATATGAACTAGTTTCTTGGAATTCAGTAAAAAGGATAGCAAGGGACAAATTGGATATCATGTGAAGAATATGGAAAACTTATCCCAGCAGATAAGCATATTTTTTAATGTGGCTAAAAGATAAACAAGGATGTAATTCACTACATCTTGTACTATCCTCTGTACAAGACCACAGAAAGAAATACTTCTCTCGCAAAACCCTCCCAAAAACTCAGTTTCTTTAAGGGATACTGACACTATCCATTTATTTTAACTTGGCCAAATATATAACTGACAATACAGCCTTGTTAGCTATAGCAGCCGAAAAATATTAGGAGTGGATATCAACAGCATTTTCCTGCCATGCAGTAAAGCTTGTAAAATCAGGAAAACGTTTGTACAATAATATACTGGCTTTTGTTACCGACTTCTTGAAATTTTACTGTCAGTTGAAATATTTCATTAGCAGACCATAGTTGGATATTTTTACCTGTATATACAGTAATCTTATAAGACATACAATAATAGTATAGGTAGTGCCTTTCTTGACCTCATGCTGAGCAAGCACATGATCAACTTAATTTTATACAGAAACCAGAATCCAGATGTCACTTACCCAGTCTTTTCTCCAAAATGTGTCTGAAGCTGTGATTCACTGAACTGGATTAACTGTCCAATGTATTCCACTCCCAGAAGTTCAGTGACGGAAGCACCTAGCTTCCCTCCGAGGCTGCGGCTATATGGAGGAGAGAGAGAGTCAAATGGGGAAAGGTGTTTAGATTCCAGTTCCAATATACTAGCTAGCAGTAGGCATACAGAGGGATGTAAAATTTAGTTTTATGAGACAACAGTTAAACATAGCAACAGAAGGAGTTAACAAAAGCATCTTCTCTGCCTATTCTTGTATGAGAGACCATCTAGGAAGACTGGCGGCTATACAGAGGAAGGCAACGGCAAGCCACCTCTGCCCTGCCTCTTGCCTGGAATGCCTCTTGAATGTGGTTTCCATGGGTTGGTTGCAACTCAGTGGCATGTTCTTCTTCATCTCTGCCAATGCCACTAGGTGCAAAAGAAGAGCTGGAAAGATACTGCTCTCTTGATCACACATTCTTTGGAATGTACACACTCTTGTAAACAGGGCTGAAAAATATTCAAGAATCTGCTTAAAAAGGTAAAGGTTCCCTTGCTCGAAAGCCGGTCGAATCCGACTCTAGGGTTGCGGTGCTCATCTCCGTTTCAAAGCCGAAGAGCCAGTGCTGTCCGAAGACGTTTCCGTGGTCATGGTGGTCATGTGGCCGGCATGACTAAACACCAAGGCGCACGGAACGCTGTTACCTTCCCACCGAAGTGGTACCTATTTATCTACTTGCAATTTCTTGCTTTCGAACTACTAGGTTGGCAGGACCTAGAAGCTAGAACTAGAGACGGGAGCTCACTCGAACTGCTGAACTACTGACCTTCCACAGCCTGCAGTTCAGCATCTTAACCACTTGAGCCACCGCAGCTCCCAGATAATCTGCTTACCAAGGGCTTAAAAAGTTGAAATGTTCATTTCTCCACTAGGCTTTATTCTGGATCCTACGAACTTAATGCTGGCACTTCAGTATTTTCCCAGCTGAATCTCCAGTCCTCATACCTTGTTAGTGATCTTCCCAGTTCTTCTGACTGCTATAACCTGGCTATTACTGTCCTCGTTTATCTACTTATCTTATAAGAAACAGCAAACAAGTAACATAGGAAAGATAAATGTTAGCTGAAGTTTTACAGGTCATGGATGCAATCTCACATGAGGTTTAGAGATGGAGTCTCTCACATACTTACATGTTGCTGATTGGCATCTTGCTGAACAGCTTAGGGACAGAACCCTGCGATACCAGAGTCTGCCGATTGGGCTTGTGGAGGCCACAGGCCAGTTTTGCTAATACCTAGAAAAATGAAATACCTTGTTAAGGATCTTGGACGTATATGGGTATTTCAAACCATGATTTCAGGAGAGAAAAAACAAACAAAAAAAGAAAACAGAACACAGGAACCAACTGATGCACATAGAGTGCATGTTTCCAAGCTTCTCCATAATTTAAATAGCAGTTACCTGGAAAGGTACCTGTCTTAGTTAGACTCTTGCAAATTAAGAAGTCATTTATTGAATTAGTTTCAAACCATTCCCAGAGTATGCTAACAAATCAAAATGACATGAAAACACATATTGCATATGGGGGGTACAATGATGAAATACCTCTTACCTCTCTCATTTCTTCTTTGAGTAGAACTAAAATAAACACAATTATCCCCCAGAGAATTTCTTAATTCATACAACAGATCTGTTAATAGGTTAAATGAAATAATGACTCACAACATTGTAATGTTTACTAAATACAACTCTTAAAATCAGGACTAGTTTAGTAAACTTCATATGAAGTAGTCTCTTTCGTTCTTGTCTTCTATTCTACTATTTGATTCTGCTGACGTTTGTGGCTGAAAGAAACATAAAATGTCATTCATTCCTAATAACTGAATCACAGCAAAGAATGGGAAATCCTAGAAGGGGAGCATCCCCTTTTTATCAGCAGTATAGCCTGAGGGCTCTCTCATTCTGTAAGAGAATAACTATGTGAAAGAGAAGATCCAAACGGCAGAATTCTTCACTCTCAGGTGCTACCCACCCTGGCATATAATTGTGCCATCTGAACAGGTACTAGCTTGAGCTTGATCATCCCTCACTTCTCCTTTTTTGTTGTTTCCTCCAACCTTTGAAATGATCAGCAACAGCATTGTTTTAGACAGAGAAACACAGTAAGATGCTTTACAAGGGAATGTCTAAGCTCCAAAATCAGAATGGGTTCATTACAGATGACTGACTCTTCAGCAACTGCCATTTACAGCTGATTTGCCTTTCTCACAAACACAATCCAATCTGGTAGAGACTACGGAATAATTTTACTGGCTAGCCTCACATCTGTGTCATACAGGTGACGAGAGAATTGACCTAGATATGTATTCTTGTTAACACAGAGGGCATTTAAATACTGTAGTCCTCTCGTCGTCCTATTATCTATCCCACTTCCTGGAAAAGGAAACCAATTATTCATAGAGAGCACTTTCTACCAAAGTCAGACTGCTAAAAACATTCCAGCTATAATTAAGTTTTTACCCTGTTGTCATCCTCTTATATCTACTGTGCAATGTCACAGTAATAATCCATTTGGCTCAGATGTTATCTGACATTCACCAAAATAGTTACTCTAATTTAGTTATGCTAAGCTCAAAACAAAAGTGGCCACTCATCTCGCTCATACCTTGTTGTGAGAAATTCCAACTGAACACCTAAAACCAGTGGCAGATTCCACAGCTGCCCTCATTTCCTCCATAATTACTGCCCCCACAGTCAGCTGCAGCTCCGGACTGCTAGGATCTCCAAAAGGCAACAAGTCAAGCCACTGGCACAAGCCACGCTGCCGCAGTTCTTCTAAAAGAGACACAAAGCACATCAAATGAAGCATCTCTAATCCACCTTGCCTCTTTTTCTTCTTAAAGAACATTAGTTGTCATGGCTAAATGACAAGGCTGGAGAACTACAAAAGAGAGAGAGAGAATGCTGTAGAGAACCTCCAACAAACAAACAAACAAACAGATTATACTCCACTATTACCAGCAGGAGTTGTTAATATGGCTGAAGGCCTTCCAATGAACTCTTTTATATAGCACTCACCTCCACATAATGTTCAGAACAGCTTAAACCAGATGCCAGACTTTATAAGTGAGCTGAAGATATTAGAGGCAATGAGTTGTTACGTAGAAAAATGCTGCACAAACTTGAACAATGAGCTCTCTCAGAACATCTCAGTCTTGATCACTCCTGTTGCCATTATTCTTATTACGTATTCCTCCACAATTCTGCCTTCCAGCAAACCACACTCTTCTCTTACCTGAAGGCCAGGAGGTAGCCTTATCTCCTTAGCACCCCTGGACGCTCAGTTCATCTGAACTTTACTGGCCTTTCCAAATGTACAAAAAGTGGGCCCAAGTATTGTATCAGAAAATGACCAAACATGGAAAAGATACATCTGTATCCATCAAGAGATGCATGTTAGGACCTGTGGTACAAAGAACTAGCAGCAAACACTGCACTACCGTACACATCACTTCCCAAGGCCACCCTTGTCACAATCATACTGTTAGACTTCTAACCTTTTGTACCTGTCATATGACACTGGAGCAATAAATAAATCAATTTGATCTTTTGGGATTATCGACATACCTTTACCATGCACTTCTATATATACATATGCATACGAATTTCAACTGCCCCTAACGTAACAGCATACACGCAGGGAAAAAAGACAAAATGGGGCAAATGGAATAGCAAGACTGGCACTATGCAAATACCTTTGCTGTCTGTGTTCTCTTCTGCTGCAGAACTCTCTGGTAATCCCTGGATATAGGTGGTTGCCAACTGTCCTGCTGCAATAGGCTGTCCTTGCATCTTCTGAAGCCTTTCCTGCACAGCACTCGTTAGGTCCATGTAGGCCTCATCAATGCTAGCACGCTCAATCACTGCAAAGCGTGACATCACTTCCATCACTTCAGCACTTGCTTCTCGGTACCTTCGTAGGCAGAACACATGAGAACACTCTCATTACCTATCATCAATCTTCATTATATCTAATTCTCAACATGGCCCCACCTGTGGATACTTAAATCTTGAGACTGGGGCCATGAACAGATAGGATAGATTTTTCTGCAAAACTGAAAATTGCCCTAGGTTTGCAAAAAAAAAAAGTAAAAATCTGAACTCTTAAATAAATACGTGGAGGGGTTAAACCCCCAAAGATAAAAGCAGCACCGGCAGCTTTAAGAAACAAATGCCCTCTATGACCATTACTAAGCAATCACCACAGCATTGCCCACCTTTCGGCCTTGATCGGACAGGGCCCCTTCAGTCTTTGAGGAAAGACTCATCAGGATCAGGCCTGGCAGCAACCACTAGGCAACTTGCTAACATGTGACTTGTATGGCTCACTCAGGCCCGGCTTGCTTGCTACTGCTCAACAGCAGCCAACCCAAGAAAGTCAGCATGGTGTGGTGGTTAAGAGTTTCAGACTAGGATCTTTGAATCCCCACTCCGCCATAGAAACTCACTGGGTAACCTTGGACCAGTTGCATACTCGCAGCCTATCCTACCTCACATGGTTCTTGTGAGGAAAAATGGAGAAGAGGAGAATTATGTAAGCTGCTTTGGGTTCCCATTGTGGAAAAAAAGCAGTGTACAAATGAAATACAGCTGAAATTGGAGGATACATACAATTGGGTTGGTTAGTGGGAGAGAAGCAAGGGGAAAGTGAGGCTATAAGATTCCCAGGAGGGAGGAAAGAGGAAATACCATGGGGAGGGAAATACAGGGAGAGATGAGGTGCCCCTTGCAAATCCTTGCAAGTTTCCTACTGCACGACTGGGCCACAGTTTTCTCAAGTACAGACTATCAGGGTGAAAGGAAGGAGAGAAAGCTGAAGAGAGGGGAAAGGTAGGTTGCCTGGTAGGTGGGAAGGAGACAAGGAAGCTGGAAAAGAGGAGAGGTTAATGGGGCTGAGGTGGCTCAGTGGTTAAGATGCTGAACTGCAGACCGGAAGGTCAGTAGTTCAGCAGTTTGAGACCCAAGTGCCGCATGACGGAATGAGCTCCCATCTCTGGTCCCAGCTCCTGCCAACCTAGCAGTCCGAAAACAAGAAAATGCAAGTAGATAAATAGGTACCACTTCGGTGGGAAGGTAACAGTGTTCCGTGCACCTTGGTGTCTAGTCATGCCGGCCACATGACCACGGAAATGTCTTTGGACAGCACTGGCTCTTCGGCTTGGAAACGGAGATGAGCACCGCAACCCTAGAGTCGGATTCAACTGGCTTTTGAGCAAGGGAAACCTTTACCTTTAACTAATGGGGCTTGTGGGAAAGAGGCAATAGTATGGAAGGTGAAACAAGATGCCATCTGCAAGTCCTTGTAGGTCCCCCACTTGTTCTCTTTCGATTGGGGTGGCTATTTTACTTGCTAGCTAGCTAAGCTGAAATTATTTATTACATCCCAGCCTTCTTCCATCACGGAACTCAAGGCAGCACACATAGGTACCCAGGTGGTTTCTAATCCAGGTACTAGCCAAGTCCAGAGCTACTTAACTTCAGTGACTCATCTTAGTTAGTAAGGGCTAAGATATATTCAGAAACTGAGCAGAGTGAACAATGTGGTAAACAAATGGACTTGATCCAGTTTGCAAAAAGCTGTAAAGAACTGTAGATTTACTTCTAGAGAGGTGACTGCTGGGCAAAAGGAGGGATCTTAGATCAGTGGTAGGACCCCAGTATTATATACTGAAGTTCCAGATTTCCATCTTTGGTATCACCAGCTAAACATTCATAGTAGACAGAGCTTGAATTAAGTTGATCAATAGCCTGGACAGTATTTTGCAGCTTATTTTCATACTAAATGGTCTGCATCTACATTAGGAAAGTCAGCAACATTTCCCAAATCTTTCCAGAAAGAAGATTTGGGATCTAACAAGAACAATGATCAACAACTATACTGAATATTCCACAAGTGTTCATAATAAGGTAAAAACAAGACCCACATATCATTATTAAACATATGAAGCTGCAAGACAGCATCGATCCCAGGACTTACTTAGTGAGATCTGCTTTGCCATGAGCCTGTGGCACGCGAGCTAACAGAAGGTCTGGGCACAACTTCTTGGCATCAGCAGCCCACATGTTCCTGGTAACTCCAAAAGCACGAGCTTCATAGCTCACAGCAATTATCCTGAGTCAAAGATGAAAATATTAGCCAATGACTGATGGAGAAGCTGCACTCCACACAGCTTTTCAGTACATTTCCTGTTTAACATCAGAATGTTAACAAGTAAGCAAAAAACCGCTATACATAACAAGGAGTAATGATGACTTTTTTTCTCACCAGAGCACATGTTTATTGTTGAGAACTGATCAATAATTGAGACTTGGGCCGTTCTAGCTGTGCTGGGGTTCATTATTCCACACTTTGTAAAGCTGATATCCTGACATTGCGCTTTGGTTTAGTGGATAGCTTACATTTCAAGAGCTAGTGATACTAGCCTCCTAGCCTAAACATATGGATCATCCGGCTCCTCAGGAACCCCGGATGTAATGTATGTCTAAGAGCTTCCTGACCCACTGATAGTATACAGATTGCCACTTGGAGAGGCGCCACAGCAGTCTGGGGCTTCTTGCCCTCAGATACTCCATTAATAACAGGCAAAGTTCACGCCTGCTATGTATGAGGGCTTGGATTTGTCAAATGCATCAGATGTTCGTCACAGGTCTGATTGACAGCTATATGGGATTTTGCAGGTATATAATGTCAGTAGTTTCTTTTGTTCTGGGTTGTAGGCCAACCGCCCGCCTTTGTGGGTCTTGACAGACAACCAGGATAGATCCTCTATAGAACCACAGTGCACTCTATTGATGTATCTGATTAATCTGATTAATTATGTATGCTGCATACCAGAATGTTCTATGTTTTAAAGTTTTGGGTTTAAAAGTTGGGAGTTCTGCTCATGCGTCAACAGAGATAGACGCCTCATACTACTCCGAAAAAACAGTGAGATAAAATGTAATAACAACCAGAGTTAATGGAAGATAAGCAATAAAAACGGAACCCATAGGGAACAGAAGCTCTGAAGAGTAATTATTGGATGGGCTTGGTGAGTTATTTTGTGTATAAACCTATTTAAAAGACGTGTTTAAAACTGCAATTAAAGCGAAGATAAAATGGCGGCAAAGAAAGAGCTTAAGGAGCTGACAGAACTTATAACTAACATGGAAACAAATATCAGAGATGATATTAAAGAGCTCCAAAGTAAAGTGGAACACTTAACCGAGGAAATTAAAGCAGTTCAGTCAACTGCTGATAAGGTACTGGAAAATACGAAACATAATGAGAAGGAGTTACAAGAACTTAAGAGAAGGGTTGCCTCTTTATCAGACCGACAACGCAGAAGGAATCTCAGGCTTTCAGGAATAAAGGAGAGTATCCCAATTAGAGGACTTGAAAAGACTTTAATTGAATGGTTTCAAAAGCTTGGGATAAATATTATGGAAAATGATTTGGAACGCGTCCACAGAAGTTTAAAACAAAACCCAAAGCTGGAGAAAATCCAAGGGATGTTAGTATTGCCTTCTCAAGAGAAAAGCTGCAAGATAAGGTCTGGAAAACCCTTAGGAAAATTAAAGGCTTACAACTTCAAGGACAGAGGGTTATACCCAGGGAGCGGGGGGGGGGGGGGGTTATAGAAGTAGGCAGGATTTCATATCTAAGACCAAAAAAAGGGAGGGAGAAATAGAATTCCTTTCTAAACCCTCAAGGACGAGTTTTTCGGGCTATAGGGGAGGGTCTGACCAGGTAATAAGAGAAACTGAAAAGAAGGGAAATAAGGACCAAATAGCACACTGGGGAAGGGTTGTTATAACAAAGAAATGGGGAGGGTGATTAAGTTGCTCTCCTTGAATGTAAATGGATTGTCCTCAGATGTAAAATGGTATAGATTAAATAAACAGTTAAAGGATTTAGGAATAGAGGTATTATGTATTCAGGAGACGCATAAAAGTAAGAGAGATTTGAGACCACTACTAAACTCTCAAGTATGGGGAGTGCAAATAGAATCAAGGGGAACAAGAAAAGCAAGAGGAGTGGCTATCTTGTTTCATACTAGACTGAACATCAATGTCTTGGAACAATCTAAGGATAAAGAGGGAAGATTTATTTTCTTGAAATTTAGTATGAATGGTAAGATATACACGTTGGCAAATATTTATGCACCTAACAAAGGTCAGAATTTATTTTTGAATCGGATATTTCAAAAGTTGCAATCTTTCTATGAAGGGGAGTTATTAATAGTGGGGGATTGTAATACTGATATTTCAGAGAACAAGAAATTGAACTTTAAAAAAATGGAGACTTAGAGAGATACATGATATTTTGCAAAAGGAAAAGCAACCTACTTTTTTTTTCAAAAAGGTATAAAAAGTTTTCTTGTATCGACCATCTCTCCTTATATATAATTGAGTAAGGGAGTGGAGAAAAAATGCGTGCTGTCAGCCATTGGTCCCCCAGCTGCCGCTCAAGGCTGCTGGCATGCCATTGGCTGAGAGGCGGGAGGCGAACACTGCGAGCAAACGCCACCGACAGGAGCCAGGGAAGGGAGGCTGCAATGCCAAGCGACAGTGCTGGGCAGGGAGTGAAGCCAGGGACGGCGCCAGGAGGGCGGGCAGCCCCGGAGAACCAGGTTGTCATCGAGGGGGACAGCAGAGGCCGGGGACGGAGGAGGAGGTCATTCCCGACTGCCCACCCGGTCCACCTCGCTCCAACACCTTCTTTGTTGGGGGGGCCCTGCGCCGGGCCTACCTCGCCTCAGGGACGGGGGGGGTGGCCGCGCCGCCCTTCCCTTGCCCGCCGTAGCAAGGGACGGTTAAACAGCAGCCCCTTCTTCAGGGGACTTCCCTCCTTTGGCCTGGGGATGGGGGAGGCCAGCCCCCTTCCCCACTGCCAGGCCTCTCTCTGGCCGCTGCACCGTGCTTCCCCCGCCCGGAGCAGCCTTCGCTGGCCAGGCAGTAGGCCCTGCATTGGGGGGGCTCCACTGGCCCCGGGGAGGGGGGAGGCCACCGCGTGGCACACCCCAGCACAGATTCGGGGGGGCCAGCCCAGCCCCCTTGTCCCGCAGCGACGGCTCTCCCTAGGGTCCGTTGCCTCCTCCCACAATGGGCGTTCCTCCTAGTATATTAATAAAAGAATCTATCGATATGAGAATTAGTAGGGTGGAAACAGGGCCAATATGGATCTCTGATCATGCACCAATTACCATAGAGGTAGAACTGAATGAGGAAAGGTTAAACGATGGAGATTTAACCCTAAAATATTCTTTCAACAGAAGGATAGGGAGGATTTATTAAAGGGGGTGGAGTATTATTTTAAGGAAAATAGGCAATCTGCAGAAGAAGATATAATATGGGATGCTGCAAAGGCAGTTATTAGGGGAATATGTATTATGAAAAAAAAATCAATTTAAGAGGGAAATAAATATTACATGAGAGCAAAAGCTGAAGGAGATGTTAGAACTTTAGAGGAAGTTACAAAAGAAATACAAAAGACAAATTCAGGAACAGTTAAATAAGTTGAAAAATGAACTACAGGAAATGAACCTTACTTCTATGTGGAAAAGAGATATATTGGTGAAAAATGAGTATCAAAGAAGTAATATAAATACAATGAAGAGGTTGGCAAATTTTTTGAAGAAATGAAGGGAAAGGCAGAGGATAAGGTGTATTGAAAAATGAAAAGGAAAATAAGGCTTTTAAAGATAATCAGATAAGAGAGATTTTTGCTAAATATTACCAAAGGTTATTTAAAGCAGAGGAAAGTAAACAATTTGATAAAGTTATAAGGAATAAAGTTAAAGAAGAGGAGTTGATTGAATTAAATGACGATATCACACAACAAGAAATCTTAAATGTCATAAATAACTTAAAAATGGGAAATCACCAGGTTTGGACAGATTTACAGCAGAATTTTACAAAATGGTGGGAAATTTGATAGTTCTGGAATTACAAAGGTTATTTAATAAAATTTTGAATAAAGGGAAAGCTCCAGACTCTTGGAGGATGTCACAGACTCTTGT